TAAAGCTACACGCAGGAAATTATTAAAATAAAAATATTGTTAGTAATTGCAACATTGCCAGAGATATTATTATATATTGGCATGAACGATTTCAGGAAAAAATGGATTTAAAAATGCATTTTTAAAAAAATCTGTCTCCATTTATTTTCAATTGCTACCCAGTTGTGTGATACTCTCAACATTTGAAGCATTCATTCAGTGGGTATACGGTACATTCCGTGGATTCTGCCTGCACATGCCATAAAAGGCTTCAGATGGCTCATACAGGTTTATTAAGGGAAGTATATAAATTAAGGTTCTTTGTGATATAGGAACATCAAGTTATTCTACTTTAAAACTGAGCCTTTATTTTAGAAGGAGTTTAAATTATAATTGCAGCTGGTTATTTAACCTGCTAGATTATGGATGAAGAAACTGACACCCAGTCTTTTCTTGGTGAGGTATGATGGGAAGCTTGTCAGTCATGCCTGTATACAGTTAAAATGGCTTAAATGTCTGTCTGTTCTGTATTACGTGAATTCAACAAGCATTAAGTAAGAATCAGTGCAGTGCGGGGCTTTAACCCTGCAGTTAAGGGTGTAAAATGCACTAAGGTTCTAGGGTACTAAGGCTCTTGCTTTTTATAAAGTGTGGGAGGGGAAACCATGAAGATTGGATGGGGTGAGTGAGCACCATGGTGACACATGCATTTTTTACTACAGGACCGGCGTATTAACCTCTGTTTTTGTCCCCCGGATTCTATTTGCTCATAAAAACAAATAACTGTAGGGTCTTTTTTAAAAAAAAAAAACAAAAAAAAAAAACACTCCTGTAGCGATAAAGTAAATGCAAATTAAGCGAGGAAAGTGGCACATTTAGAGATGCGGAAGAGCTGTGCAGAACTGGCCTGATGTAAAGGTCTGCATCAGCAGGGAGAGCCGGAGCACATTTCTCCCCTTGGTATGTATTTGGTTGTGCAGTGAACTGCTGAATTAATATTTCTTTATTTAGCTGGAGTCATTTAATCCATTTGATGAGATGACGCCTCATGGGAGAAGCTGAGGCACTTTTGTTTCACTGAGTGAAAATTCCCTCGTCGGCTTCTGCTGAGTATTGAACTCCGTTTCATGAAAAGCAGAAAAGCCAAACCAGAGCAAGGATGACCCCAAAAGAGAACCCCCCTCCCCCAAGGGTACCCACAGAAAGGTCTGCGTGGTAACACTTTACTTAAAGCACCCATGTATAATGCATTATACATACCTTCATAATGCATTATAATGGCCCATACTGACCATTATAATGCACTATCAAAATATCTATAGTGCATTATGGTAACACTTCACTTGAGGGGACACAAATAATGTAGTATTATGCTATTATGTATTAATTATCCACAAATTAAGTGTTAATTACAAACTAAGTTCATCATTAATGAATCATGATGCATCTTTTATCTTAGGCAAGTTGCTATATTTGTTACTAAATCTGCTAATTGTGCAAACCATTGTGAACTACTCAAGGAACTACTTTAGGAGCAAATAATGAATAACACGTAAAATACTGATTTCATGTTTGTTCATTAACGAATTGTGATACTTTCATCTCAAGTAGCAACTATTTTTGTTCATGTTTAACTGTATACTACTTCAGTAGTAACTCAGTACTAAGTATTTGTGCCCCGTCATGCAAAGTGTTACCGCATTATAGATGAGAGCTACATAGAGCATTTATAATGCATAGTAAACAAGGCCATAATGGATGCCATTTTATAAATGGCTATAGACATGTCTATAATACCTTCATAATGCATTTGGAAAGTATCTATAAGGCATTATGATGACTGCTTTAAGAAAATTGTTTTTTTTTTTTTAAAAAAAAAAAAAAGGGGGAGAAAAAGAAAAAATCTGAGAAATTTCTTCCACAGTCTATAGCACTCCCTGTGAAAGTGATGGTGGAGAGTCCTTTCTAAACCTTGTTATAGCACAACACCACCAGCAGGGTTACTGGGAGATTAGTGGAGCAGCAGGGATTTCCTCCTGTGCCTGCTGCAGGTGACAAAGGACACACCTGGAGAAAAACGTGCAGATATCATCAATCCATCACTTCAATTCAAACCACTGCTCTGAATAAGGTAACTTGCTGACCCACATTTTAAATGCTCCTAAATCAGCCATAGGCAGCCCATTCTCTAACAATACAGGCTTTGCTCCAGCTGTTTAAACCTATATGCTTTTTTGTTCACTTAAGAACATAGTTGACCTCACAAGGTCATGGTTCAGGAATATCGCACTATTGAGCAGATGGGCTGTTACTGTCAGGGATCCGGGTGGATTTGGTGCGAGAGCATGGCATGGTGTAGGAGGATAGGAAGGTGGAGGACCCACTGGCGGCTTCACAGGACAGAGAAGGTTTATTGAAATAAAAAAATGCTACGAAAAAAAAAAAACTAAAACTCAAAAACTAAAAGGATAACTAAAGCAGACAAGAATTAGGGACCAGGAGAAGGTTAGCAAACAAGCAAAGAACTAAACACAACTAACATACAACAATGAACCACTGGGGAACTAAACTCAGGCAGGAACTTAAATACAGAAACTGAACAGGGTAATGACAAGCAGGAGTGACAGACAATTAACCAATCAGGGAGGGTGCAGGACAATGAGCAATCAGGAAAACACAAAAGGGCAGGCAACAGGTGGAACTAATTAACTCAGGGACTGGGAGGGGAAAACTAAGACACTGACAGAAACAAGGAAACAGAATCTACACTAGGGGAATAAGACCGGTAAAAAAAACACAAGCACGGGCACAAAGCATGAAACCAAAACCAAGTACAAATCACAAGACACAGGAACTAGAAAACTCAAATGAAATACCAGGGAACAAAATCCAAAAGCAGAGGGATTCAATCACAAGACAGAGGGGTTTACAGACAACCATCTACTCAATAAGTTGAGCCATATAGTCAACAGTGAACAGGGGAAAGCCAAAGACTGACAACAGGAGCTGACCCTGAGAGTTACAGCTGAATTGTGTCACGACTGTGGACAAGGGACAACCCAAATGCAGGCTGTGATTGAGCAAAGCCCACAAAGGGGGCATTTATTGACAGGATACAACATGCCGACAAGTGGCAATGGCAGAACAGGGACCACAAGCGTGGGAGACGCTAACATACCTGAATAACAAGGGATCTAACACAAGGCAGCTGTGAGTGATTATCAGGAGCGCAGGGACAAGAGGTAAGACTAACGAGTCCCAGACTTGGCTAATTTGGAGCCCCACCTGAGGGGAAACAAGGGGATCAGATAGGCGGGCAGGCTGGATGTGACAAACTGATGTCCAGGATTCTCTTTCTCACTCTCAAGGCTTTCTAGGTTTTTCTGGAAAAACATTTAAAACGATCAATGTACAGTTTGCGCAATCGATAAAATCCAGTATTTCTAAGAAAATGAGAAATATAGGAGTAAAATACATGTGGGAAAATTAAGCAAATGTTCTTCAAACAAAATTCAAAATATCATTTGGAAATACATTAATTCTCAACTTTAATAATTTTCGGATTGAGCCATCAGTGTATACAGGAGCAGAAGGTCAAATAATAGTCAAGGACATAGAGCTGGAGGGAAAGTTGCTGGAGGGGCACAGCTGTTAATCGGAAATGCTCAGGTAAAGTGTCTGACTGTGTAAATGCCTGTTTTTGAGGATGCATGAGACAAACAGGTAAACACTGGTGAATATTGTTATAACGGAAATTCAGAAGCTCTTTCATTTGAAGACTCAAAGAGGTACCTCGGCAACAGCTCCACGTTACATATCTGTTACAGAACTAGAATCACACAGGGAATTAGACTGCAGTTTTATTTCAAGACTCGACTTTTCTTTTCCCCTTCAGGAGCACTGTGGAATTTTTTTTAATTAACATAAGTAACCATAACCTCCTCCTTCCTCCTGGCGGACGGCGTAAATCATAGGCTGCTGAGGGTGAGACAGTTGGCTGTCCCCCCGAAGGACACGCGACAAAGGCGCCGCAGAACTCTTGCGCGCGATCCCGGCAAGCGGGTGCGGAGACACGCGCGTGCACGAACATGTTTCCCATTTAATCTGTAAAATGCTTTTCATTAGAACAAAATGTCGAAGTGCTGAGATAAATATAAAATACGATAATATATAAAAAAGACAGAAAAGACACATAAAACACACAAAAAAACGGAAGAACTTAAAAGGTAGGCTTCTAGACCAGATTTAAAAAGGAGCAGAGACTGAGGAGACTGTACAGTAAGTGATCTGGGAAGGTGTTCCACAGGGGGGGGGGGAGGCAGCAGAGCAAAGCGCTCTGTCCCCCATGGAGATGAGATTAGTCCTGGGAACATGGAGGGTTTATGGGTTCAGCAATTTCAGTTGCAAGTTTGGTTAATGAGAAATTCTTTGGGGTATATGCTATCCCAAAGGAAACAGGTAGCCAATGAAGTGATTACAATACTGGAGTAAACTGACTCTCGTCAGGATGCTGGCTACACTGTTTTGGATGTATTGGAGATTCTGAAGGGAAGAATGTTACAATAATTCAGCCAGGCTGAGTTTTTAGGGTCTGCAAAGCTGAGGGTGGGTCTTCGGGGACCCACAGTCGCTCCATGTCTTTGCTCCCTCCAGGCTTCCAGCCAGAACGTCCACATTTTTGCTCCCTCCCAGCTCCCGTGCAAAAATGTGGCTCCACAAGGACCATATTTGGAAACACTGCTCAAAAGAATATGGGAAGGTCGTGGCCAGAAAATGTGTCGTGATTTATAGCAGAACGCTGGACATGGGGGTGTTGACCAGAAAAAAAACATCTGTTTTTGAGCTGTTCAACTGCAGAAAGTTGAGTTTCATTCAGGTTTTAATCTCTTCAAGGTAGGTGGTTAGAGGTAAAGTTGCTGCAGATGTAAATGCAGTAATATGGGTAGAGAAGAAATTTAAGATGTTTATTTTTTTTTACCATGAATTTCAAAACACAACCTGATGCAATTTCAAACCTTTATTATGTAAGTGCCTATTACAAGCTGTATACAATGAGTATTAAGCAGTTTGCTGTCATATATAATATATCACTCAACTTGAATAATCAGACTTGAATACATTGCCAACGAACGATCAGTCGCTCTGAGTCTGGCCCCCTCTGGTGGCATTGGAGATGAATAAAACATGTTTTTCTTTTTCAAATATTAATACGAATTGTGTGTTTATGTAAAGGGGAAGGAAGCATGGCTCAGAATCGTGATTGACCACAACGTGCTATACAGTCAAAGGGGTGCGTTTGGGCTTTTCAGCTTCTGAAAAACAGGGCTTTAGAAAGACACTGAGCCCGGTGAAGTGTTTGGAGAACCCAAGGGCCAAGCAGGAGAGAAACGCTACCTATTGGACTCACAGTGTCATAGACGTGTGGGAGGGGAGAGTTTTTCACTTCTGGTGTTGACGTAGATGTGTCTTAGAAATTAAATAGAATTTAACAGAAATCGCCAAATGTAAGAGTGACAAGATGAGCCTTAAATTTGTTTGCGAGGAGTAAATGTATTGTAATGCCTTCTGGATTCATTGTTCAAAGAAAAACATTAATGAAACCAAAACTCAAGTGGCTGAAACTGACAGCTATCTATTTAAAAAAGCACAAATCTACTGTTATTCGATTCCATTATCTTTAAGCTTAAATAACCACATAATTTCAAGCAAAGAGAGTGCCATGCAGCTATTTTCAGATTTGGGAAGTCTGCAAAGAGAATCACATCCCCTTGGTGTGCATTACCTGGCATCCTATTCTGTCTTTAACTCTTCTTCAGTAAGGGACAAGATAGGCCTTCCCTTGAGGGATTCAGGACTGTCACACTGTATGTTCTCTGGGAAAAACACTACTTTCTGGTGGTCTCGCAGCCACTTCCAGAGGTAAACCACATCTACCTTGCATTCCCAGGGGTTTTGAGAGAGGTCCACCCCCTGGCCGGCACCAGACCCCAGAGCGGGCAGCTTGTCCAAAAGGCCAGACTGCAGAGAACAGAGCTTGTTGTCGTTGAGGCTCAGAACTTCCAGATGGTGCAAACCCTGGAATAGGGCGGCGGGCAACTTATACAGCTGGTTTTCCTGCAGGAACAGATGTGTTAGGTTGGAGGAGTGCTGGAAAGCGGATTGGTCCACGGAGCTCAACCTGTTCCCCTCCAGGTGGAGCCTCTGCAGGTTGGGAAGGGAATCTAGGATCCCGGCAGGCAGCTTCTCCAAGCGATTGTTGCTCAGGTCTAGCCTCTCCAGCTTTGTTAGGTCCTGCAGCAGCTTGGTGGGCATGGAGCTCAGGCGGTTCCCTCCCAGGTCCAGCCAGGTGATATTGCTGGAGGCAGGGAGCCACTCAGCATCAGCTGTGAGGAGCATGTTATCTCTGAGCACCAGGTTCACCAGTGGCGCGTGGTTGAACACTGCAGCTGGCAGACGTTCTAGCCGGTTTCCCGTGAGGTCCAGCGTGTGCAGGTGGACCAGACCCTTCAACAGGTCTTCTGGAAGACTACTGAGCTGATTCCCAGACAGGTGCAGTTCCTGCAAGAGGGGTACAGCCTCCAACTGGTGGGCAAATATAGAGCTCAGGTTGGTGAACTCAATAAACAGAGAGGTGGTGTTGCTGGGAAGACGGTCGTAGGGAAAGACCGTGAAAGCGATGTTGCTGCAGACCACCTCAGTAGCATTGCTGGAAAAGTGGCATATGCACACGTGAGGGCAGCAGAGGCTGCCATAGCAACAGTAGCTGCTTAGAACCATCAATGGGAGGAGGATCCAGGAGTCCATCTCGGTAGCACTGTGGGATTCATAAACGGCACAATGGTGCTCAGTCGCTTGTGCTTTCTGTTCATCTAATGTCACAGAATAACAAAGTGCAATCTGTCTACACAGATCAGTGACCGACAGCCTTTAGATAGAAAACATACATGCAGCCAAATTAAACCTGTTAAGGTTTCTGAATTAATCCTTCCAAAACAAGCTGATCCACTCAGTTGAAACTAGGAACTTATAGGTAATGGAGATGGTGCAACCTAGTATCCTGTTTTAATATTAAAGGTTCAGTGCTATGAGCTGTCTTGCTTGGCTAAAATACACTTGTGACCAGAAGTCGTCTGCTCTTACGTGAGGCTGTGCTGTTTCACCACCGGCCAAGATGCCTTGATAAATCACCCTGCTATAAAATAGGTACTTACAGGTCATACTGCAAGCTGCTTTGATTAGTAGTATTAGTGGACAATCATGTGATGATATTCACATAATTGCACAAATATGTAAGCTATCCTTGGGTACAACAGCTGTGTTTCATGACCGAAACCCATGAAGTACATGAGGAAAAGCCTTACCTTCTGTCCTGCAGCCAGGTAGCTATTAGGACAGAGTGGATTCACAGTCTGTCTTATATGAGAACAGTTGGGGCAACTTTTTAACCTGCAGTATTTCAACACTTCTGACTGGAAACGAGTCAGAGGTTCAGTTTGTTTGTACTGTCGCCGCTTGTCAAAGTGCAAATATCACATGAGTGCAAAGCTCTGAGAGGGGCGAGACACACTGTGCTGCTCCAGGTTAGCCATCGCTAACAAACCAACCATCTAGCTGGGAAATCAGCTGTCCAGATAACAGCAGAAAATATGCAAATTTACCGAAAGCCATCTATCAGAAGTACAACCAAGAAGACCAATCAGATGCAATGCAAGTCAAAAAAAAATATTATTCTTAGTTCTGGGGTAAAAAAATGTACAGTACAAACGCATAACATTATAACCTGCATGTCAAAATTACCTGCAAATTTTTTTTTGCTGTGTTTTGTTAAACAAGGGGCAGAGCGGCTGCCTCTTGTTTAGCGCCTTGCTGGAAAAGGAAGAAGGGATTTATGCATTGAAGATTTCCAGCCAACTGTGTCAACAGTTCATAGTTGAAGCTTCAAGTGAACACTGAGGACATCTATTGGTCAGACGGTGAATGGCATAAAACAATGAGGCATAAAGCAAAGAACAATTAAGCAATACAGGACACCACTTGTGACAAATCTCTGAGTGTTGTGAATACAACTGGGGATTCACATAAATATACTTTTTTTAAATTAAAAACATTATTAGCTAGAAGGGGGGCTGTCGGAAACGCCAGTCACCTGCTCCGCCCATCCAGTCTGTACGCCTTGCACACTCACCAACCTGTAGAATTTCTAGAACTACTGGATAGATCACCTGAAAATGTAAAAGTCAATAAATGTGTTTTTTTTTAGTGCAGTACATTCCACTTACATGACAAATTGCAGACTCTGGCCCCAGTTATGAGCTTATCTGTATTTCATAATGTTCATGTGCAGCATTTTTTTTTTACTGGGCATGATGTATTAAATCATGTGCGCAGTTTAGTTTAAATCAAGTACATTTTTCAGATAGGAAAGCATATATACATATTTCAGTATTTTGACATGTATTATAAAACCCCTAGTATGTATCCTGCTCCACGAGCTCAACCAAACATGCTGTGCGTTTCTTGGCAATAGGTTATCCATTCTTAAATGGGTAGCATTTCATTGGTTGGACCTGCGTTCCTTTCGATGATGTGATAGGCTGATATGGGCTAGCAAGCAAGGTTTCTTGCTAACATTTCATCAAAGTTTCACACTTACTTATCGATTCAATTTTATATGTCAGTAAGCGCACATATTTATATCGTCCAGCTCTATATCATTCCATAATAAGAGAAGAAAACGTTCTATACCACATATCTGCAGCTGTAAATATCACTCTGAGCACAGCAATCATGTAGAGCTATAGGGCCAGACAGGTCCTATCACAGGCACAGACCTAATCTGCATGTCTTTGGACTGTGGGAGGAAACCGGAGCACCCGGAGGAAACCCACGCATGCACGGGGAGAACATGCTACTATATTATTATTATATATTACTATTATTATTTATAATAATTGTTGTTATCATTATTCTTGATGATGTATTATTTTGCACTCATACTTATTCCTGACTCTGTGAATTATTAGGTTTCCATTTTTTAAATTCTTTTTAAAACCATAAATAAAATAAAGTTGTGGTAAGCTTAGGATTCATGTATTTTTTATCAAATAAGCTCAGGGAGAGAACACTGAACGACCTCCAAGATCAAATTTATGACAACACGGACAGACACTAATCTTCTGAAAGACCACCATGACATCACCTTTGCTATCCACAATATAAACTTTATTATTCTAATAGGAGGATCTGTTGAGCTCAGATGTTCTAGCTGCAGCTTCTGGACACGCCGACTTGAGGTAGGATGACTGTGGGCTCTGCATCACCTGCTCTGCCTCCTCTGTGGGGGGTTGGCAGTCCTGCTCATACCAAAGCCAAGCGCTTTGGCTGGACGCATCTTGTGTCTTTGGACAAGCAGAATGCTTTTTGAGAGCAGCCAAGTGCAGACCTACTGGTGGTACCAAGTGCAGACTCCTCCATGTCTCATACTTGAAAGAGGGGGGCCGTTTCTGAGGGGTTCCTGTCCCTGTGTGTTTTAAAATTAACCCTAATTTCTGCAGTTATTGTCACAGCATTCCGTTTTAAAAACTGCGCCACTGTGCTAAAAAATCTCACCAGATTTAAAAGTAAACAAGCTGTTACCATGGAAACGCAATCATGCGTCAGAGCTGGGCGATATTGCAGTACATTTGCATTGTGTGTGTACTACTGGATGGCAATTGGCAATGGATCAGGCTCGTCTTAAATAGCCAAATTACCCCACCACGACTAATGCATTCCTACAGCCGTACAGCCGTAATGTCCCCGTTAAAAAGGCTCCTGCAGCTTTAAGGGAACACCAGTGCGTGCAAAGGATTGTGGGTGCACGCGAAACGAGAGCGCGCGGGAAAGCCTTGAAAGAAGAGGTGGTGCGTCGGCAAGCCGGGGTTTGATTGTTCTCGTCAGTAATATGTAGTCGCTGGTTTTATGTATGCGTCACTGACGAATGTAAGTATTAAGCTGTATTATTTATGTAACTGATATGTGACGCTGTACTAATTTAGTTTACCTTGACTGCACTGATATGTTAGCGCGACTTAGGTTGCGTACTGTGTTGTAGTTATTGCTGACGAGTGTATCGTTGTATACCCCGGAAAGACATTTGTGTTTCTATCCCGTTATTCCTTTTCACATGGATTATTGCTAATGTACCGTGTTATGTTACGCGTAGCCGAATTTACTGATGTTAATGCATAATATACCATATCGCATTAGGTCAGTGTGCTTAGCCGCAATAGTCAATGTAAGCACTGCAGTAATTTATTTGACCTGTTTGTTATAGCACCATACTCATCTACCTACCTACTTTCCTCCTAGTGTACATCCAACTGACTACGATTAAAATATGCCAGACTGCAGCTAATGGTTCCCCTCTCCTGCTTGTCAATGTGCATCTGGAGTACAGTCATCAAAACTCCCATCTTGCCTGTCCTGAATCGTGACTGATATCCCACAGCGAGTACTACCCTCCTGCAGCAAACACCTTACAGTTTCCCAGGGATGTGTGTCCCCCGCCCCTTTCCCACAATCTCCTTTTTAAATAAAATGTCGTGAACTGTCACTTTATACAGCGACACTTGTGTCCTCTGAGGAAGGCCTCATCTCTTCCATGACTGACATGTATCATGAAACCCGGAGCATTTAGTCTGCTCTGCCAGCTCAACCATACATGCTGTGCGTTTCTTGGCCATAGGTTATCCATTCTCAAATGGGTAGCATTTGATTGGTTAGATTCCCATTGCTTTCTGTGATGTGATAGGCTGATACAGGCTAGCATGCAATGTTTCTAACAGGTTGTCCGTTTCTCACTTATCGTTTCAACTATATAACGGTAAGTTCACATATTTATATTATCGAGTCCTATAACATTCCATAATAAGAGAAAAGAAAACGTACTAAAGCACATACCTGCAGCAGTTGTTATAGTTTTGAAATTTTCATTAGTTTTAGTTTCTTTTAAGTGTACAAATAGTTTGTTTTGTTTTTATATTATGAAAATTTCTAGTTTACTTCAGTTTTTATTTGGTTTTAGTGTTAGTTTTTTCAGATATGAGGAAAGTCTTGATTTATATAAGCTGAAAATGTTATGATGAAAGAATTCATGACATCAAACATGATTTACAAATCCATTGTTTATTAATGATCTATTATGCAAATACCATTTTTTAAGATATTTGCTTGTTTTCTCTCTGCTGGGCTTTCCCTTTAAAAGTGGCGAAAAGTATACCTGACATAATTTAATTATATTATTATGTTATATTATGAGTATTAGGTCGCAGTCTCGTCTCTGCGTTTTTGTGTGGAAATCTCAGTCTACGTGCTGTTCTCGCTCTGACCATTGGGTGGTGTTCTTTTAAAATAATATTTCAGTTCCATGCACCGCATAAAATATAGGCTCAACAAGATGAAGTTGTTTCCTAAAATCAAACCACCATATGATGCTAGAAATGAAGAGTACCAATAAATTGGGAGTCATCAGAAAGTTCCGTGTTTCTAAAGCTCTGAATTTCCATTGTTTCCCCATTTGTATCCATAGATAGTTTTTGTACATATTAACTTTGACTGTGGTCACTTCTGAAAGATATACTGTATATGGGGCCCACATCAAAAAGGGAATATTCTCATAACACATCTACTTATTAGAGATACCCATCAGGATCGGATTAGTCATTAGCAATGTTTAAATGCTAGCAAGGAGCCAACATGGGTTTAAAATGAGCTTCAGCGGCAATATCTTATTACAAAACACTGCATCATCATCCATCCATCTGACTCTGTAGATGTGACATCAGCAGTTTTACCCACTGAGCCACTTTGCACTGTCATGTAGCCTATATATTCTATTGCTTTAGACTTAGTTTCATTGCAAAAATGACCAGAGCGTAGCTACTGAGACACACGGTCCCTGTTAGAGGTGAGCAGAGAGTGTAGCTTTATGAAAGGAACTGAATGACCCACAGAGGTAAGAGGAATTTGAGTGCACTGAAAAGCTCGCCAAAGAATAGCATAAATACGAAACGTACATGGTATAATACACTGTATAATACGGTATCCAAAGCGAACCGAAAGGGTTCACTTCGGTATCACTTGCGGTTGACGTCGCAGAGAAATACTCTGGCAACTAACTGCACTGCAAGCTGTTTCATTCCTGAAAAAGTTCACCCGCTTCCTGTACTTTACCAATTGTAATGGATGTTGTTTCACAGAGAAATGAGAGTAAATAACGTCAGTAGGTAATGTGGTACAGATTATGCATTACTTTCTTGTGTGATTTTAAGTAGCGTAAATGTACAACTGGCCAAATAATCAGTTCAGTTATTTTAAAATGTAAGCTAGCTAGCGTCAAAGGAAGTACACCTATACATCAAGAAATTGTGCTTAATAGTTCAGAACGAAACGAATTTGTAGTCTCTTAGTGTAAGTTTACTTGATGTGATTAATATAGTCAACAAGTTTAAATTCACCGATTAAATGAATAACGTAAATAATGTAATTTTTATGCAAAAAGGATGACAGACAGCTGTTTTAGGCTGTTTTATAAAGTGAATTCCATTCTCTGCAAAGTCCCCCAGTTGCTAATGCAACAGGCGAAAGCGCTATATGTGGTTTAGGAAGGGCTGCAGGGCAATCCTCACTAGTAACGACACATGTTAAAAAGGAATAAATTGTAACGTGTGGTTGACCGATGAAACATCACGGGCGCCGGGGTATTTTCGGCGATCGGCCCGGACACATACCATAAACAACTACTGACGCCAGGACCACATGCTTTTGACAACAGCGGGTCATGGGACCCCGTCTGCACCCTTAAAACGGAGCAGCAACACCGGCTCCTTTATACTAATCGCCGCTACAATGTATGAATCTTTTTCTGGTGGCGTAAATATATTTCCAGCTGTGACGCCTGTTGATGAAACAACTGACGAAATAACACCAGATCCCGACTCCTTGGGGTGGATCTTCATGCCCCAGGGTCACCACATATAAGAAGGCGTGGGCTGGAGCAGCTCACCCTTCGGAAATCTTCTAGAATTTTTCCCGGGTTAGAGGCTGATCGAAGCGCTTTTCGACCCAGATCCGAGTCAGGAAAGTGAGGACCTGCACCGGCTGTCAGAAGTCCGAAAGCGTCGCCAGGAGACGGTGAGTGTGAAGGCAGACTACTTGTAATCTGTGTTTTTATCGTCCGGTCATCATTAGTATGAAATGCTTTGATTATTAACTAGTTAATTAATTAACATATGAAAGAAGGTTGCCTTTAAGGACAAAATAAAGAACACTAATAACAAACACAAAGAACTCGAGTAGCATTAATTTCGGTTAAGTGTTTCGACTCTTTTGCACAAAACACAGATATATTTGAAACTTGCAATGCTTGTTCAAATGCCTTTATTGAATAAATCGAAAGTATAAATGTTATAACAGTTTTTATAATAGGCCTACATAAATATCAATATAGGGTCATAGTCTATACAAAAGAAGTGCTGTCTCGTTTTATTAGTGCACTGTCAATGAGAGTTAGTAACGCTGTTATGAATTGTTAGTAACCATCTAATATATTTTGGCTGCGGACTGCTGTGTTAAATATGTGTGATGGCGTCGATCCCAGTGCAGCCTGTTTACAATCCATCCACGATACTGTTGGCATCGTCAGGAAAGACACGACGCTTAGTGACAGGCTGAAAATATCCCAAGTTCTTACATCACTGCATCTATTCTGGCACCACTTACACATCCCGACTCTTAGCTTTCCTTCTGGGATGTTAATTCTGTTGAGGTCATATGTGACATATTTTACCGTAGGAAAATCGAAATACTTCTAGTCGAATTTAGAGAATGGCATCAATTGTGGAAATAACGACGCCTAATAATACAATCAATCGGCGGAAGTTATGTAGCTAAAAAAAGTTAGACAGTCGCCGGAATAGTAAATGAAATAATTGATTTCTTATCACACAGCTATAGAAGTTTTATTTCCCCAATAAATGAGAATGTAACAGCATAACTGTATCTATAAAACTGCCCATTATTTGATTATATTGAGTACTTTGCTTGGTAAAATGTACATTCTAGGCCTTCAGCACAGTGTATGCCTTCCTACCAATACGACCGAAACTCAGAATAATGTGATCATTTCATATATTGTCATAAATAAATAATATCCATCTCCCAACCACTTCTTCTGGGAAGAGTCAATGTAGCCGCTTTTTTCCCTCTCTGTTATATAACTAAAAGGAAGAGAAAGCTCATTTGGAGCAGTGACCGTCGAGAGGCGCCCTCTAGCTGTTGGGAAAGCACAAGGTATCCTTCTGGCAAACGCAGTTGCCATGGACCTGCATTGCTGTGTGGAGCCCCGCGGGCCGTGCTGGGTGCAGGAGACGGCGGAGGGGCTGGACAGCTTCGATGCTGAGTGCAAGGAGTGGGAGAGAGAGCTGAAGGACATGCAGAGGAACATCGAGGAGGTAAGCTGATCTCAAGTGGCCACCTTCAAATGTGGTATGCTAAAATCAGCAGAGGATTAAAGGATTCCTAAGCATCTACTTCTCACTTCTTATCATCATACGAAAAACACTTAGGAAATAATCAGAAATCACCTGGAAACCATTCCAGTAACTCGTGCAAAAGTCCACCTTATTTATAACGTATAATAAATCTGATGCTAAGAAGTACAATAATCACCAAACAAATATGCAAATATATTTGGGAATCGATAAATACAGCACACCTTCCTCTAAAACTTTAAAGAAAAAAATATTAATGCCAAGTTTCTAAAGCAGGGCAGCTTTTTCCTACTTCTGGAGCCCTACCACCCCACAGGGCTCACTGAAGGGCTGCACCTAAGCTCTGCAGGGGGGGGTGGGTAGGTTTCCAGGAGCAGGGGTGGGCAGCCCTGTTCTTAAGGGTTAAAATCTCATATAACACAAAAAAAAAATACTGTTAGTGTGTTTACTAAGACCTCTGTTTTGTTGTATATGGGTTTGTATGTGTGTGTGTCTCATATGTTTTTGTGTGTTAATATTTCAGCTATATAATGAGGTCAAAGCCCGCCGCAAGGAGACAGAGACTGGACCGGGACACAAGTCAGACCCCATCATCCTTAATGGCAGCCTGCATTCCACAGTCTCCACCTTTAATCACCATGGCGATGGCCTCACTGTTTATCAACATAACCATGGAAACCATGACTCCCTCCTTCACTGTAGTAACGGCACCTGTCACCCTCCCTATCTTCTTAACGACAGCCAGAGAGATAAGCCAGCTGGCTACACCAATAGTGCCAACAGTGTCCTGTTTAGTGACCATAGCAACGGCTGGGACAATCATGTCGATTGTAGTAACTATGATTTTGGTAGTCCTATAATTTGCAACAGCAATGGTTGCAGTTTCCCAAGAAAACACAATGGTGACGACGGGCAGGAGCGTGCTATGAGGGAACTGGAAGAAATGCTTCACTGCTGTCTGGGACAAACATCTGAACATCCTGCATATCCCAGCATGTCATCCTACAACCTCCAGAGCATCCAACCCGACTGCAAGTACGAGAATAAGAAAAACACATCATTCA